TGTCTCCAGCGGAGGCCCCTCAGCCAATGAGCGAGCCGTGCTGGGCCAGCCACGTCCTTTGCGTCGGGGGGCGGAGGTGGCGGTGGTGGAGGTGGGTGGTGGGGAGAGAGGAGAAGAAGCGGGGCCAGCGCCGACCGGGAGTCGAGGCGACCCTCCTCGGGCGGACAGCCGCTTTTCAGGACGGTCCCCGGTCCACACACACACACCCCGGCGCCGCGCTGGGCCCGGTGGCCCCGAGGCGAGGCTGCAGCGCTGGTCCATGCGCCGGCTGGCGGCAGGCCGGGCTGGATGGACCCTGAAGCCGCCTTCGGAGAGGCCCGCCGGAGCCTGGACGAGGCGCCCCCGAAAGGCATGGACGCCTTGCTGAGCCCGGCCGCCTTCGCCGCCGCCGGAGGAGGGCCCTGCCGGAACGCGCCGCTCAGCGGGCCGGGCCCCTCGGCGCCCCCCGCCGCCTACCCAGCCCTGGACGGCGCCGAGCCGCCCCCCAAGCAATGCCTCCCCTGCCCGGCCTCGGCCGCCGCCGCCGCCGCCGCCTCCACCGCCGCCCCCTTCTCCTACGGCTGCTTCGGCAGCGGCTACTGCTCGTACCGGGTGGCCCGCGGCGCCCTCAAGCCCTGCCCGCCCCCGCCGCAGCCCGCCTACCCGCCCGACAAGTACGTGGACGCCGCCAGCGCCGCCGCGCCCCCCGAGGACTACCAGACGCGCCCCGCCGAGTTCGCCTTCTACCCGGGCTACGCCGGTCCCTACCAGCCCGTGGCCAACTACCTGGACGTTTCCGTCGTGCAGACCCTCGGCGGGCCGCCCGGCGACGCCCGACACGAAGCCCTCCTGCCCGTGGACCCTTACCACCAGCCCTGGGCCCTGGCCGGCGGCTGGAACAACCAAATGTACTGCCCCAAGGAGCAGAGCCCGGCCGCCGGACACTTTTGGAAAACGGCCTTCGCAGGTAACCGGAGCGGAGGGCCTCTCGGGAAACGCCTCGCCCCTGCCCCCTCCCCCAAATATCCCCCCCCACTCCGGGGCTGGTTGATTCGGGCTTCGGACCGAAGCAGCGAGGAAATCTGATCCGGAGAGGGCCTGTCCGGAGGCCCCCTCTTCGGGGTTGGCAGAGGTGGGGGTTGGGAACTCTGCACGTGCTCTGAGGCACTCCCTTCTTTCCAGGTCTGAGCCCTGGGCTCGTTCTTACGGCGAGGAGTCCCAGAATGTGTTGCTCTATGTTCTCATTTCCCTTTTACGTACTGTTAGCTGTTTATTTTTCTGTAGTATAATAAAAGGATAGTATAACTGAACGCCAAACTATTGCGCCAAAGGTGTGCCGAAACAGATACTCCCCACCCACACGCTGAATAGTGCACTTCCAGTTCCCTTGCAATGCACTTTACAACTGCATTTTACTGTGCAGAATGGCAAAATCCACTTGCAAACCGTCTCTAAAGTGCATCCAAAGTGGATTGAACGGGCATTATTCCCGGTATGTGAAAGCGCCTCTGTCGATGTATACTTTCCCCTTCTGGTTGGTTTCCCTGCGCTAGTCATGGTTCGGCGTAATAGCTGTCATATGATTATTATTATTATTACAAATTATACATTAGGTTAAACAAGTGAGTTCGTGCGAGTGTTCCTAAGCGTTGTTTATTTCTGGGAAGCCGCCCAGGAACGTCGTGAAATCTATTTTCTTGCTTCCTTCCAAGACCCAAATTGCCGTGGCAGGTTAGAGAGAGGTTGAAGCTCTTCAGCTGGCTACTCTGTGCCTTCCCAGTTGCGGTCAGCCACAGATAACGGCCGCGGGAAGTTTCTAAGTGCTCCAATTTTGGACCTGTGAAGCAGTAATTAAAAAACAAGCGCAGTTATAAAAAAGATGGCAGGGTCCCTGAACATGTGCAGAGTTCCTTATCACCCAGTGGCTGGTAACTAGGATTGGGAGGGGGGTTTCTAAGTCAGTGAACTTGAGTTGGATGCAGATCTTCCAACCCCAGCCAGCACCTCTCCTGTGATCAATTTAGTGCACATCAGTCAATCATTCCAGTCCCTAAGGAGTCACAAGGGATACCTATTTCAGCGAAGGGGTTCAGATTTCCTACCCATCCAACTTTCCTTCTTTGGTCCTTTCCTACTTTGTTTCTTGGAGTGTGATTCAAATTGCTGGACCTCCGTCCTTCAGATCTGCAGGAAACAAACTCTGTAAAAGAGCAATCCTAAACAGGTCTACTCAGAATCTTACTCAGGTCTATTGTATGGGGCTTACTCCCAGGAAAGTGTGCATTAGGGTTGTACTGTGCATCTTGAAAAGTGCTTAGGATGGCTAGGTGCAGAAGTGTCAGGGCACATAAAGGTAAAGGTTCCTTTGCTCGAAAGCCAGTCGAATCCGACTCTGGGGTTGCGGTGCTCATCTCCGTTTCAAAGCCGAAGAGCCAGCGCTGTCTGAAGACATTTCTGTGATCATGTGGCCGGCATGACTAAACACCAAGGCGCATGGAACGCTGTTACCTTCCCAGGGCACATAGGGGGTGATTAAAATCAGGACATAGTATTCGTGCTAGGTGCTATTGCTGTTGTCCCTGGGGATTGAGATAGGACCATTTGGAACCATTTGCTTGGCTTGGAGATGCAATGCTGCCATTCTGAATTAGCTTAATGGTTAGTAAGGCCTGTCCAAATGAATGGAGATCCTGGCCTGCAAGGCAGAGCATATTAAAAGATTGCCACTTCGGTTAGATATCTTTAAAAAGAAAAGATGAAGGTTTTCTGGAATGTGGCTCTCGACTTGATGTTTCTGCAGAATATGAAACATGGGCAGTGTGTAAATTCAAAAATAGGCCTTGGCATGTCTGGTCCTTAAACTTAGCCTAACACTAATCTTCACAGAAATATTAGGGTAGGTTTATAAGAAAGAAAACACATACACAGACAGTTGGTGCACTTTGGTCTTTTACTCTTTAAAAAATTCAATTTCATTGTTTATTGATAATGTCCCAACTTGTTGATTGTATTGACTCATTGTGTAGTCTGCCTTAAATTTGAGTGAGAAAGGCAGACTGTAAATAATGTAAAATAAAAATACATTTTGAGGGGAGGAAGTGTGGTGAGTCCAATGCCAGGGGCTGGACTAGATAGCTGTAGGAGGTCCCTTTCCGCTCTTATAATCCCACAATGCTTTGCAGGGCCCTCCAGTGACTGCATCATGTAATTCAATCAGACTTCACCACAAGGGGTCATGCAGCCTACATACTCCCTTTAATACAGTCCTGGGCCTACAGAAATTGATAGCTGCAATCCTCTGAGCCCCCTTCTCAAGTTCAGGGCCTGTTAAATTCCACTGGATTTCTCAGGGTATCAGTATGCCTTGGGGCAGCCAGACAGGAGACATTTTAGGAGTGAAGTTACTCTTCGACAAAGGAATTGTGCAACGCCAACCAAAGTATTATAATAATATACTGTATGTAAAATACAATACATAATATTGTGTTTAGCATTGCACAATCTGCTTTTCAGAAATACATAAATTCTGCATGGTGAAGCGTTCTATGAAACCCAAAGGTTTGCACATTCCTACTGAAATTCTACACTGCCATACGAAGCAGAGGTATGCCCTTCTAAATTAACAAGCTTAAGACTGTGCCATAAATTGTTTAGATAAATAAATGTACCAGCTCCATAGTCCAGTAATTACAATATTGAAATATTTATGTGTTATAATTGAGGTTTTATCACTCAAGCCCATTAGTGTGCAAGAGGCAATGTTTTATTCCCCATCAGGAAATCCTACCTGTGACCAATGACATTTGTCACAATTCCATACCTCAACTGGATAACCATCATTAATTGAAAGAAGTCTCATTTGTTGCCACTGGATTAAACTTTCAATTTGGCATTTTTAGGATTTCAGATGAACTTCAGTTAGATTATGAAGGAGCGCCCACCCATCTGCTTTATCAGTAATAAATTTGTGCTGCATTACATTATCGAAGAGTAGCAACTACAGTGAAGAACTCTGGCTTTTGGCCCTGAAACCAATGCCCAAGATCCCTCCTGTTGTTTGAATGTGAGCTGAGATTTCCTAGAAAGTATTAGAATGTTTTTATTAATAGGCACAGGTCCCAAGCCACAACATAAGCAGCCTTGTCTCAGTAACATCAATTACTTCATTGTACTGCGGGTAACCCAAACCAGCCAGAATCTAAATGTCCAAGTCATTTTGAGTAATTGCATTGCAAATACTGTGTGCTCCTTGCAACAAGGTACTGATAGCATTTTTAGACCGCTTTTCAAAATACTAGATGTCATAACAATACTCATATTCAGTATTGTCGTGAATAAGGTAACGTTACAGGACCCAAGCCAGTAACATGCATTTTCATGTTCAGTTGCATGTAGTACTGTCTTCTATGTTTCCAACTGAGTTCCAGAATTCAACACACTTTTGGTTTCAAAATTATTAATTACTCTGCAGCAAAAAAATAGTATGTTGCTACATAGCCCTGAAAGGCGAGAGGCATGCCATGCACAAATGTGCTTTCAAAGTGGCTGGTGGGGGGAGAATTTTTCCCTGAATTGCGTCCAAATAACTTGATTCAATTATGTATGAAGCGGTACTTTACTATCAGTGCAACTTATTGCACTATGAAATGACTAATTAAATAAATTCACAACTGTTCCAGTTCAACAAAACATCAAAACAAAACCGTGTAATTGTGTGTGCTGTCTTTCTAACTGTAACAGTATATTGTTGTGACACTGGACCCCCCAAGGAACATAAATATTCAGTATAAATATTTCAGTAGTATGCAGTGCTGTGTAAGCTCATTTGCTGCATAATACTGGGGTATTATTCATTAGAATCTAAGCAAGGAAGCATTTTTCCAGGCTTGCAGGATGTGCCAGAAAAAATCTCAGTCTCAGTCAGACCTTAAGGACCATGCCCCCACCCCATAACCACAATGTAACTATCCAACAAGCCTTAGTAACCAATACTATTTTCTTGGCAAGCTTTCTCAACCATGACAAGAGCAGGAGTAGTAGAATTGTCTCCCCAAGGAGTTTCATAAAGTATCCTTGTTATTATCTTTCTGCAAACCATGTAAGATGGAACTGTTCCATGGGCCTTTTGAATGAACTTTTAAAAAATGTCTCAACAGATTTTGATATGAATGACATTGTGGTTAGACCTTCTGTAATGTTATTGGGAGTTTATCAGTTTTAAGTGTGGAACTGTACACATTATTGTAAGTTTTAGTACCTGGACTTTTTATTTGCAGAACTATAGAAAGGCAGAAAATACTACTACTACTAGTGGTGGTGGTGGGAGTGGGGGGTGGTACTACTACTACTAGTGGCAGTAACAATAGGGAAATATATATTTATGTAGTGTGATCCCCCTGAGTGAAGCTGTTTTAAATTAATTGCTTTCAGCAAGAGAATCAGTTAGGTGACTCTGTCTCTTACCTGAAAAAATGACACTTGAAAGGGCCTCGTTTGTTTTCCTAAATGATAATTTAGCATAATATTATATAATGGCACCAGAAGACTCACCTGAGCCCTTTGACTGGCAGATAGAACCATAGGGGCATATATGCCTATTGCTGCTCTAACCTCCCCCTCCAATATATGGACTCTAATTCACAGACTACATCTTTCTAGACGATCAAATGAATATTTGTATGTTTTATACACTGGCCACCTAAGCAGTGCAACTGCAATTGGAAAAATAAAATTCTACCAGAAACAACATATCCGTGGCCTCAAAATGCAACTATTAGACTGCAGTGCTAAGAATACTTTCCTAGGAACAAGCCCCATTGAATAAAATGGGACCTGTCCATCTGAGCATACCTGTTGAGGATTGCTTACTCAATCGGAACGCATTATACATTATTCTGTACACGCACTTTGAGTTGGAACTCTACCCAACTGGCTCTATCCAGGGAAAGAATTAGGTACTTTCTTTCCCAGTTTCACTGGTTTAGGAAAGCTTGCCTTCTGGATCACTTTCGCACCTTTCCAAACGCAACTTGGCGGTGTGGTCCTGATTTGCTCGCAATGAAACAAGTCTAATGCCTGAGAATTCCTCGAAAGACTGCACGGGTAATAAAGGTGCTTAATATTTTCCAAAAGCCTACCCAAGCACTGTAACCACTGTCTTTATAAAAACCGACAAGTTTATTTTAATTTGCCACATTGTAATATTGAAATCATTGTTTGTGTTTAATGTATGTGCATCCTAACACTGCAGTTCTGAGGCCAGTATCAAGATTTTCCCCCTTCAATAACAAACAAGGTGAAGTTGTCCAACAGAACAATACTCATTAATACCCACGCCCACAATGTGTAACTCCTGGGGAGTACCGAGGTGCAGTATTGGTCCCCCTCCCGCAGTATTCATTACTTCGGTCTCCCCGCCGGCAGCCTTGTCACAGAATGAGGCAGGCCGTGTGTTTGTTTGGGTGGTATTAATGATTGCACAACACTTGGAAGATTGCCAATGAGGTCTTAAAATATAGGCATGTGCGCATGTTGAAATCTAATCAGAAAAGCCGTGTGCATGCAATAGCATCTTAAAACGCATAGGTGGAGAAAACAGGTGGAATGGAGATGGTGCGTTGTGATATTTGGTTGGTCTTACTACTATGCAGTATTATGTGGATTAGTAGTATGTTATGTAGGAGGTAGTACATACTGTAACGGTTGGGTAGTGGGCAATATACTACATGATGTATTAGTATTAGTAGTGCTATAATGTAGTACTGTAGTACTTTATGTGGTATTATATGAATTTGGGGGGTTCTTTTGTTTTTCCCCCTGTGTGTGTATATATATATATAATGTTGAATAATATCCGAATTCTCACTACTCCTGAACACTCCTACTTGCGAGTGAGTCCTGGGCGGTGAACACCAAATAAATGGAGAACCCTCTACACAAAAAGTGCCACTCAACAAGATTTGAATCCCCCAACAGAAACAATTTACTCAGGACTAATTATGTGATTTCCGTCTCTTCCCTTCTTTTCCAAACACATGTGTTGGTTTCCCTAAGAGCGTAGCAAAGAGAGACAGATATGATACACTACCCAACCATAAGCACACATTTACTTGCAAGTCAATGCTGTTGAGTTCATTTGGGCTTGGAAATCACGGTGAAACATCAGTTCTCACATTTCCCCGCGCTGCCTCCGACTACTCACGCGCCATTTAACCTGCCCTTAACTAGACTTCTTTCCCCACCTCTGCTAGTTAATTTCAGTGATACTTTGCTTCCAAACAATAAAATAAAGGGCTTTTAAAAAATTGAGAGAGGAGGAGAACGAGAACGGGAAAGAACGTTCTACTTTTGGATAGAAGTGGGGGCATTTGAGTATTAGTCAATTTCACCTGGCTCGACTGCCGGACAAAGGCAGGGTTGTCGATTTCACTCCCTTCCAAGAACTGCGCGGTCTCTCCAGCAGGCCTGTCTTAACCTTCGACTCTTTCACCCCCTCCCCTCTCTTTCTCTTTCTCCCGCTGGGCAGAAGCTGTAGGCCAACATCCCCCGGAGGGCTGTTCCTTCCGCCGCGGCCGCAAGAAGAGGATCCCATACAGCAAAGGGCAGCTGAAAGAGCTCGAGAAGGAGTACGCCAACAGCAAGTTCATCACCAAGGATAAGAGGAGAAAGATCTCCGCGGCCACCAACCTCACCGAGAGACAGATCACCATCTGGTTCCAGAACCGGCGGGTGAAAGAGAAGAAGATTGTGGCCAAGGTGAAAACCACCAACACCAACACCACCACCACTAGCAGCACCGCCAGTAGCAGCAGCAGCGGCAGCACCCCGTGAGAGAGGGACTCGGACCAGACAGAGTGGGGTGGAGGGGAGAAAGAAGCCCCCGCAGGGGGAGAAAGGAGCGGAGGACATCTCCGCTGGCTCCCCCGCCGCCTTGCCTGAACTGGAGAGGTGAAGGGGGGTGGGGTGGAGGAGAAGGAGGGAGAGGAACTGGATCCGAATAATTCTCGTGGAGACTTCAATAGTTTCCCCCCTTCCGCCTGCTTCGCGGCTGCCTCCGCGCTCCACCTCGGCGGAAGCAGACGAAATCCGCACGTCCCCGGCCTCGTCCGTGCTCTCTGCTACGCTCTCTTTTGTTTTATATTTTTTTTTCCTTAGTCCGTGTTTTGTTTTGCTTCCCTCAAATAAGTTAAGACCCCGATTTGCAAGCAAAGAAAGAAAGAGCCGGTGATTTTAAGAATTACGCAACCTAGTTACTGTTGTTATTGTTATTTTTATGATGATGTAATAATGGGGGAGGCGGGAGGAAACCGTGTGCAATGTACAATTTATTTTTATGGAATTCCCCCCTCCTCGTTGGTTGCCGCCTTAGCGTCAGTGCGATGCGAACTTCTCTGTCCTTTGTACGAAATCCAGTAATTACGAGCTGCTCTGGGGGGGAGTGGGTGGGGGGGAGGGAGGGAAGACAGCGACGCGCAGACAAAAGGAGAGGGGGTACTGCCTACAATCGAACCGGATTCTAAATAAATTCTCAGTAATCAGAATGGCTGGGTTCGCTTACGGTTCCATTTGTCAACCGGCTTGCATATAGCTTTTGAACGAACAGTCTCTTCAGCCGATGTGAAATATTGGTAGATATTTTTAACTGGGGAAAATATCTACAGGTTTTTTTAATATATAGCATAATCTATACTTTAGGTGGCTTATACATTTGGAAAACAATGTGTGCTTGCGTCTGAAGGTGGACCACTGTTTTTTGTCTTTGTTGATTGATCACATGGCAATCGATAAATGCCTCGGTTGCACGTTTACGCATTTGCTTACTACCAAAATCTCAAAGTGCCTTTGAGGACACTGAAATAAGTGGGAGGTAGTAGACATTGGGTGCAATCTTAAGCAGTTCTACTCAGACGTAAGCCCTATGTTACTCAATGGGGCTTACTCCCCCGGAAAGTGCCTTTAGGGTTGAAGCCAAAAACTACTCCATGTACGGTGTAATCCTAATTATGTGTGCTAGCCCAAGGGGGTTTAATTTCCCTTCTAAGCCTTAGGCAGAAGGAAAAGCCATCTAGAGAAAAGTTATTTTTCCTTCCTTATGGGGCTGGGTGGCCCTTCAACGCCCAGCCCCATCGATTGACGTTTGGAGCCGTGCAGCTTAAATTCTAGGCATGTTTACTCAAAAGTAAGTCCCACTGCATTCAATGGGGCTTACTCCCAGGTCAGTGTGCATAGGTTTGCAGCCCAGGTGTGCGTGTAATGTGTATAATACATGGGAAATGGATTAATTGAATTTCTCTTTGCTCCTGCAATATTTGGAAGACAGTCTACTGTGACTCACCTTGATGTCAATTTCTTTAGAATGTTTTGGATGGGGAGGTCTGGAAAGGTATGTTTTGAAGGCTGAGTAAAAACAGATGCTTCTATGCAGCACTACGTAATAGTAATAAATACTTCTATTACTGCTACTACTATGATAGTACTGGTACTGTTCTTAAGGACAAATTATTTCTTCGGGCGTTTTAACGAGGCAGGTATCAGGTCTAAAGAAGACAGAATGGAGAGAGGCGGTAGATAAGGGTTACAAATGTGAGAGGAATATAAGTAGGCGCAAACTTGATTGATAATGCCGATCCTAAAGCGTAAATAAAAGAAAATAAATGCAATTGAAATCAGTGGGCCTTACATCCAAGAACCATTTTGGAGGAGAGTTTCAAAGGAAATTCTTTAACCAGCGTCCTAATTGCAGGGGTTTTTTTTCCCAAACAGGCGAATCCCCTTGATTCCAATGCCTCTTACTCTACCTCCACTCAAGTGTTTAGTACTTTATTTTTTTCCTCGCACTTCTATACCTATTGTACATAATTCCTCCTTGAATGTCATAAAGGTTGCATAAACGGTACGCACGAAATCAATAAACAAAAACTAAATAAGTAATACAACACAGGGAGTGCGCAAAATCAATCAGTAACAAGTTTTTTTAACTGGTGGTATAAAGATTGGCGCTTGCAGTAGGGGAATGAACAACTGGTGTGTGTGTGTATTTTGGGTGGGTGGGGGTGTAATGTACAAAATGAGATCCAGAGTGTTTGTTTCGATGGAAAACTCCATGTTGAAAAGTAAGGACTGGGGACATTTCCGGTAAGCCCTCCTCTCTCTCTCCTACTCCACACCTCGACGGTGTGGAACGATTGTAAACCCAAACAAAGCCGCTCTGTTTTATTTTAAGCCCCACATGCCTCCCCCTCTCCCCCATGTCTCTCTTTTCCTCCGCTTTCTCCTTCCCACCCAATAAACTCGCCTTGGGTATGCCAGATAATGTGAGGTTTTATTCCCCCTATTTACAAAGGACCCGAAGTTTAAATACATAAAACCTACTGAGAGGGTCCCCGTCAGAGCAGACTCCCATAAACAGGAGACACGGAGGCCAAGTTCAAGGATAAGTAGAATTTTAAGCTTTCTTTCTTTCTTTCTTTCTTTCTTTCTTTCTTTCTTTTTTTCTTTCTTTCTTTCTTTCTTTCATGGGTAGGCTTTTGGCAGTCGCATTTTTAAAAGAGGGAGGGAGAGGGGACCACTGTTTTGGAAATGCAGGAGGGTTTTGAATTTTATCGCCAATATCATGTTCTATTTTTCCTGGCACGCAATGGATCATGGCTGTTGGGGATAGGAAGGGGGCTGCTCTCTCCCCCTCCTCTTCCCCTTCCATTCATATATTGTGTGTTTTATTAGAGATCTCATTGGGAGGAAATTCTGTTCCGCAGTTGACGGGAACGGCTGTCGGATGTATCTGCTGGCGCTGGAGAAAGGGGGTGTCTTGGGGGTTTGGTAGAGGTGGGGAGGGGAAAGGGTTGAATAGAGCTGACCTAAGCTGTTCCGCGCCCTGGCGCTTGCTACCTCTAGTAGCGAGGAAGGCGGAGCAGTTTCCCTGCCACAGTAAATCTAGCTTTAACTTTGACCCCTAGGTCGGGTAACTGCTGGCAGTTAGGCCGTTTTGACCTTGACTCTGATCCACACCTCCCTTTCCCCGGAAAAGGAGGTTCTTAAGATCAAAGGGGAGTTTATTGGACGAGTTCTTCGAAGAACAACGACTCTGCTCTTGCTAACGAGGTTAGATCACGGGCGCCACCTCCCGGTCGTGAGAGTCAATGCAGGCAATTAGCGCCAGCTCCTTCGACCTTCAGCTCTGGCTTTCCAGAGCACGTGTTCCTGCGCAATTGCATGCGCGTTGAAGGAGAGCTTTTTTACAATGGTGTGTTAAGGTGGGGGAGAAAAGAGGCCAGGGAAGAATGAAGCGTTGGGCAAGAAAAAGAGGCGTTCTGAACAGCATTACTGTCCCAAGCAAGTCTATGCAGAAATAAATCCCATGGGGGGGGGGGCTCTCTCCCAGGAAAGTGTTTAGGATTGCAGCCAATGTTCCCTCTAAGCTGTAGAGTCTTGTGAGCAAAAATTCTATTTTGTGAGTTACTGGCATTAAAGTTGTGAGCAAGCGATTTAGCTATTGCATAAATTAGTTTGCTCCGGAGCCATCCTTCCTACGCTAAGACGAAAATGTGTGAGCTGGAGGCTAAATAACTGTGAGCTAGCTCACGCTAACTCAGTTTAGAGGGAACACTGATTGTAGCCATCATATCCCCCCCCCCATATGCGTAATTTCTAATCTGCACACAGAAGACTGGTTTGAAACCGGGTGTTAAGGCCTAAGACCCGGAACTGACTTTGAATGTCAGTAATATAGAGGCGATCGCCTACGAGGGATGTATTTACCACCGAAGAACCCTCGCTTCCCCCCAACAGGCTCTGAAACAGCCTTCGGTCCTCTCTCTAGAGAAATTAAGGACTCAGATGGTGCCTCTCATGTATACAGCCATGTTTACATCTCTGTCATCCTTACACCAGCGTTAGGTAGGCCGATATAATTCACCCTCCCATGAGTCTGTGGCCTCATCATCTGATACTGCTCAGTGAACTCAATTTGTACTTTGTGGTGGCATAACTACACATGCTGTCGCTAATACTATTGTGTTTCTCACATGCTTCTTACCTGCTCTTGCTGCTACTACTATTGTAGTTCTGCCACTGTTAGCTGTTCCTACCAGTAGTAGTAGTAATTATAATGCTATCGTATTGTTGCTACTGTCTGCTTCCGGAGAGGAAATTTATTAGGAGGAAATTTGCTACTCACCTTCGGGTTCTTTTTTTAAAATATATTTATTATCCTAAGGGAAGGATACCGCCATGTTTTGTGAACCTCAGAGGTAAATGACAAAAGTATATTATACAGTATGAAACACTGGCCCATGTGGATTCTGATGGAAACCCATGGCTTAAAGTCTCAGCTTTTGGAGGGTGATCTAACTTCAAATATCTAGATTTATTATTCTTTTAATGGAGATTCGCACTCAGTGTCACCGAACTCCATCTCCGAGAAACAACTCATCATGGTCGAATTCAGATTTGGGTATCCAGCCTTTGGGGAAACCCAAAGTAGTTTCCTGCATTTTATTCCCGGAAGTGGAAAGACCCTTCCAAAATGGACTGATGTTCTGTTAGATTCGAGTCTAGTCTTGCCTTAGAATAAATGACAAAAGTATATTATACAGTATGAAACACTGGCCCATGTGGATTCTGATGGAAACCCATGGCTTAAAGTCTCAGCTTTTGGAGGGTGGTCTAACTTCAAATATCTAGATTTATTATTCTTTTAATGGAGATTCGCACTCACTGTCACCGAACTCCATCTCCGAGAAACGACTCATCATGGTCGAGTTCAGATTTGGCTATCCAGTCTTTGGGGAAACCCAAAGTAGACCCTTCCAAAATGAACTGATGTTCTGTTA